TGCGCTGCTTTAATTGATGCACACACACACACACACACTCACACCACTCGCACATAAACACAGTGACAGGGAGAGAGGCCGGAGATTGCAGATCACGCTGTGTGTGCACACAGAAACTTATTGTCAGTGCTGCCCCACGACTTTTATTAATAAAATAGCATAGATACTACATCGCTTCATTATCTTCCTCAGCAAGGAGGTAAAATCAAAGTAAACAGCTTCCTTGTTTGTAGAGAGAGACGCACAGATGCAGGTAATTCACACACACAACTGTCATCTCTCTCTCTATCGATAATTCATTCAAATAAATGTGGTCTTACCGCACTATTTCATCTCTGTATCTGATTTGAAGCGGGCAGAATGCTAGAGCTAACGAGCCGTAACTGACGAAAATAACCGTCATTTTTACCCTTCCGGTTAAATTTTGCGCTGCTAACATCATAAACAGCATTAAGTTGTCAATACTGGCAAATGACCATAGAATAAGTGGAATAATCAACGGCTTGCCGTGCATTAAAGGATTTTAGAAAAACTCAACACCACCATCTAGTGGACTGTAAAGAAATTAATTTTGTTATTCTACCAAATAGTATAATAAAAGATCGATACTTGGCATCCGTGTATCGATACAGTATTGCCGCGGAAAATATCGCGATACTATGCTGTATCGATTTTCAATTTCCCCCCCACCCCTAGTAATTTGCCTATTTTTCGCCAATAAAGAGTAGTTGTATCATGTCAGTGACATTTTCATTTGATTCCTGGTATCAGAATTATCTGAAAAAGTGGGTTCATTTGTGTTTGTATGTTTACGGTTCAGGAGTTATCAAAATCTGTGATTTTTTTTTTTTTTGCCACTCGCAATGACATCATTTCAAGATGGCCGCCAAACGAACCCCATGGGTCATTAGTTGACCTTGGAAACATCAAAGATTCTTAACTAGACACCATTAGGGTTACAAAAAAAAAACGGTTACAAAAAACTGTCAAGCGGGTGGATGGGAACCAATTCTTCCTGCCCTACTAGGAACTTTTATTACAAATTGGAAAGGCACACACAAAAAACAATATGAAGTCTAATGGATGAAATTCATATCAGAGCAAAACCCAAGCCATGAGGTCAAAGGAATGGCCTGCTGAGCTGAGAGAAAGGATTGTGCTGAGACACAGATCTGGGGAAGACTACAAAACAAAATTCTGCTGCATTGAAGGCATGTGGCCCCCAGAATCCTTATTAGAAGAAATTTTGATAAACGAGAACTTTTGAGAGCTGGCATCCTGGCCAAACTGAGCAATCGCTGGAGAAGGGCCTAGGCCCTAGGTTATAGTGGTGACCAAGCAGCTGATGGTCACTCTAGTTGAACTCTATGATCACATAATCAACTCTCTGCATTGCGAGTAAATCACTCGCATATGCGACTAAATATTCACTCTGGGCGACTAGATGTCTAATATTAGCCAATGGTTAATAAATTCTCAGATTTTACTTGCCAGTGTGTGAGTTGGAGGCTAAGTATAAGTTTAGCACAGATATATTTTTACTGGCCGAACACTGACTGAGCGCTTCAGAGTTTCACTCTCTGTCAAGCGATCTGTGCTGTTTTTCAGTTCATCTCAATGGATGCGCAGCACACCTGTATTTGACGTACTGTGAACTCTAGTCTATTGTAACGGCAAACGACTCGTCGTCGCTTTGGTGAGAGTAGAGAGCGAGAGAGTCTTGCATACATGCAGAATTGACGTACTACATGTAAATGACATTCTTTGTTGTATTTTCCTGTCAAAATAACAGGAAATAGTTCCTTTGGATTTTTTCAGCTTTTAAGAACTGCCGGGTTTTCCAGTAGTGGGCGGAACTAATGCGCAAGTTGGCATTTATATCGCGATGCATCGTTTCTAACATATTTGTATCGGTAAAAACCGATTCATTTATATACTAGTGGATACGCTATACTTTTATTATTTAGAAAGTGTCCAATAATCTGTGACCAATATTTTATATGTAGATTGATTTCTCCTGTCTAAACTGTTTTTCAAGTGCGCTCTCTCATCACTGCTGCTGCGTGAATATCATGTATCAACACCACGGAGACCCTAGGAAAACCTGGGATTAAAGTCCAAAAGCTGACTTGAAATAACCTAACAAATCAATCGGCTAAAGCGGTTCCATAAATGACAAATTAAGTTCACACAATCTCACTAATTTGTGCACGCTTATTCTTAAGCAGACCTTAATGTCGATCATAGATCAAATCGATCCACTATGATAAACGGTGAATATATCTGTGCTGTTTAATGCATTGGAGACGTTGTGTTTTCCTCAGTGCATAACTGACATGCCACAGGTATATTTTTAATCTGTAAATGTTAGAAAGTCATGCATACATATCTATTTTGCTGTCAGGAGCGGGCGAGGCACGTGAGAGCAACGAGCGCTACTGCACGCATGCGCGCTAAACAGGCGGAGCGCAATAATTCTGAGTAAAATATACATTTTGCTAATATATTTGTTTTTGGACATTAAATGTGTCTTTTGTAGAATTTTAAACCTACATATAAAGTGTATTTTTATGATAGCAGTAACTGTAAGTGGACTATTGTAATAGGTAAATCAAATGTAAGCTAGTAGGCTACAGTACTAATTACTAAGCTCAAATGAGTTAGTGTTTCTTATAGCAGTTAAAATGTAGACCATAAGTTGCCACAGTGACTAAGCTTGATCTAGGCCTATGTTAAATTTGCTTTATGGAACCAAATCATTTGACAGTGAGTCAGACTAACTGAAATAAGCCTGGCTTATTTGGTTAACTTGTTTTATGAAACAGGCCCCGAGGCATTAAAAGTGATCATATTTTCTCCATTGCATCGAATTGCATTGTGTTGAATCGAATTGGATCGCAGTGCATCGTAACGGGTGAATCGTATCGTATCGCATCGGTAGCTGCTTTATATGTATCTTTAATGTATCGTATCGTTGGCTATGCATCGAGATGCGTATCGTATCGGCCTGAGTCAAGAGATGCACATCCCTAGTCTATATAGTCAAAAGAGCTAATAGCATTGGAAGAAAGATGTAACTTAATAAGTAAGTGTTAGATTCACTTTTAGATAGACTATTTATTATCTCTATGCTATTAGTCATCAATTGGGAACTGTTGAGTCAACCCCTGTGGTGTGGAGTAGCAGCAGCGTGCAATAAAGCAGACATAGAAAGACAGTGTACAACCAAAGCATTTTCAAGTTTATTAAGAAAGATGTGTCATATTACAGATTCAGGAAATAATAATATACAGGATGTTCTGCACATCCAGTCAATGTACTCAGAGGTCAGATATTACCCCATATATTAAGAAATATTAACAAGTAAGATGTGTGTGCGAGCATGTGTATGTTCCCGCTGTTGTATCGGTGTTCTCTATGTTGTCTATGTGTATCCATGATGTCCACATATCGAAAGGAATTTACACTAGTATGGTTCCTGTGCTAAGATGGGGCTAAAAAATCTGATTTAAGTACTATTTCTTAGCAAAACTGAGCATAGTTGACTCTATGACTCTGAGATAATAGGTAACTGCTCCTTCAGTAGTTTAGTTAGTATAGGATCTAGCAAATATGTTGCTGGCTCTGATGCTTTCAGATTGGTTTGGATGTCTGTTGCTTTGTACCATTAAGCTGGTGTTAATTTGTATTTGTCTTTTTCACTTTAGACATGATAGCACTGAAAGAGGAGAGTCAAGAAATGAATGAAGCCGAAGAGAAAGATCGGTGTAAGAAACTTGATTTCATGGCTGCAGAAAAATCCACAAAGACTTCTTCAGGAAACAGAGCTCAAGGATGTCTTAAGACTCACTTGAGAGCTCACGTTGGAGAGAAGCTGTTCACATGTGATCAGTGTGGAAAGAATTTCAGAAGTAAAGTAAACCTTTATCATCACATGAGAATTCACTCAAGAGAGAACATATGTCATCAGTGTGAAAGGAGTTTCACAGACAAGAAACAGCTTAAGAATCATGTCAAAATTCACATCGGAGAAAAGTCTAACATGTGCTATCACTGTGGAAAGAGTTGCGTAAACAAAACAGTCCTCACGGTTCACTTGAGAGTTCACACCGGAGAGAAGCCTTTCACCTGCCCTCAGTGTGGAAAGAGATTCACTCAAAAACAAAACATTAAAGTCCACATGAGAGTTCACACTGCAGAGAGACCTTTCACTTGCGCTCAGTGTGGAAAGAGTTTTGCTGAAAAACAAAACATGAAAGTCCACATGAGAGTTCACACTGGAGAGAAGCCTTTCACTTGCACTCAGTGTGGACACAGTTTTACATGTAATCAAAGCCTTAAAGCCCACATGAGAATTCACACCGGAGAGAAGCCTTTCACCTGCCCTCAATGTGGAAGGAATTTTACTAAAAAACACAACATGAAAGTCCACATGAGAGTTCACACTGCAGAGAGACCTTTCACTTGCACTCAGTGTGGGGACAGTTTTATAAGTAAAGAAAGCCTTAATTCCCATATGAGAATTCACACCGGAGAGAAGCCTTTCATCTGCCCTCATTGTGGAAGGAGTTTTGCTGAAAAACAAAACATGAAAGTCCACATGAGAGTTCACACTGGAGAGAAGCCTTTCACTTGCACTCAGTGTGGGGACAGTTTTACATGTAATCAAAGCCTTAAAGCCCACATGAGAATTCACACCAGAGAGAAGCCTTTCACCTGCCCTCATTGTGGAAGGAGTTTTGCTAAAAAACACAACATGAAAGTCCACACGAGAGTTCACACTGGAGAGAGACCTTACATGTCGTCTTTGTGATAGGTGAAACTCTCCTCACACCAAAGGCCTGAAACATAATTTGCAAACTCATTCTTGAAAGCAACTGCAGTGTTCCTCAGTGTAGTAAGAGGGTTATAAGATAAAGCGTTTTTTTTTTGTTGTTAAATATATTTCTGTTGTTACTGGTAATGAAATCCCTTATTTTCATCTTTACAATAATACATACCAACATTGTGTAGTGTGAAACTTTAATTAGAATAGTGGCAGCAGCTTTTCACATCCTGCATAGTTACAAGTTAACATGGGCATCAGTTAAACTGGCAAAACTTTAACCTCTGGAAGACCAACTCACAACCACTGGCAGAGCCAGACATTGACATCTCATTTCACCTCTTTTTGAAATATCTTTTTTTTTTATCCCAGGGTGGAAATCCCATAAGCAATTTCACTTGACGAATCAGAATCAGAATGAGCTTTATTGGCAGGTATGTTTACACATACGAGGAATTTGTTTTAGTGACAGAAGCTCCACAGTGCAACAGAATGGCAGTGACGAGACAAGACACAGATAATAAAAAGAATAATATACAAAATAGACTGTGCAAAATAGCAAAAACACAATATACAATATAGACAATTTAGTATATACAGGTATGTTAGGTGCAAATTTGAAATGTAAACAAGTATGTATGTTAAATAAAAAAAGTTATAATAGTGTTGTGTGTTCCACGTTTATTGTCAGGTGTTCATGAGATGGATTGCCTGAGGGGAGAAACTGTTCCTGTGTCTGGTCGTTCTGGTGCTCAGTGCTCTGGCAACAGTTCAAAGAGGGAGTGTGCTGGATGTGAGGGGTCCAGAGTGATTTTGCTAGCCCTTTTGCTCGCTCTGGATGAGTACAGTTCTTGAAGAGAAGGGAGGGTTGTACCAATGATTCGCTCAGCAGTCCGGACTACCCTCTGTAGTCTTCTGAGGTCAGATTTGGTAGCTGAGCTGACAGCTGGCGAAGGAAGTACAACCTCTGCTGGGCCTTTTTAACAATGGAGTCAATGTGAATGTACCACTTCAGGTCCTGAGAGATTGTGGTGCCCAGGAATCTGAATGTCTCCACTGTCGTTACAGTGCTGTCCATGATGGTGAGTGGGGGGAGTGCAGGGGGGTTCCTCCTGAAGTCCACGATCATCTCCACTGTTTTGAGCGTGTTGAGCTCCAGGTTGTTAAGACTGCACCAGACAGCCAGCTCTTTAACCTCTGTACTGAAGTATTATTACTGAAGTATTATTTTGGGGGATCTGTAGCTCACTCAAGTTCAATTTAAACTGACTACACTGCAAAATCTGAACACTTAGTCCAAAAATGTCTAGGGTTACAAATGTAAGCATGGTTCCTTGAGAATGGGAATGAGAGTACTCCATCAGCATGACTGGTGTCTGAAGCATGTGTTTTACTCACGGCAATCTTATTGGACAACAACAGTCCATGATGACAATACTGGTGCGCCTGTGACTAGGGTTGCCAACAGTCCCGTATTAGCCAGGATGTCCCGTATTTTGGGCCTAATTGATTTGTCCCGTACGTGACCTCCCTTGTCTCGTTTTTGACTGCTACGCTGATCTAACCACTGACTGATACAACAGCAGCAGTGCTGATCACTTGAGAATGATCACCGATACCTGTCATCATCCAATCACAGCCCCCCTCATGCAGTATACGTTAAGTAAATCGGAAATCGTGAACATAACTGTTCGAGGAAGGATTGCGCAATCCTCTGCCGGCTCGTCGCTCCCACCTCACAGCAAGCGCCGCTCGCGCTAACCCCAATTCCGTCTGTGTTTTGACTTCAGTAAATCAGTTTGGTGAATACAAACTACGTGATTATTTTTCATGAGTCCAACATCCCGCCACGCAAGAGACGTGATCAGTAAGGGAAGTCGTCTTTCACTATTGTAATGTTAAATAGAGAAATTTTTTTTATATTTAAGTAACAAATAGCATAATTCTTAACCTTTGACCTTATTCTTGAAACACAAAATGACCAATAAAAAGGTGTCAAGCGTATGTGTGTGTGTGTATATATTATTTTACTATAAAGTATGACTAGTAACAACGACATTGTTAAATTCTATTTATATTTTTATGTACAGTACATACGTACTTGTATTTATTACTTTATCCTTTTTTTATCTGTATGCCTATACTTTTTTATATTTTATTTTCACACCTAATTTTATGTTATATTTGTATGCTATGTATTATTTTATGCCTAGTTTATCTTTATACATATTTGTATGTTTTTAGCACTATGCTCTTTGCAACAAAAGGATGGCTATCCAATTTTGTATTACTTGTGACTTGTAAAGGCATTCTGATGATGATTTTCTGACGGTTTTTTTTTTCCTATTGTTGTAGACACCATCAACGGAGACAGAATGGCGGACAATAGCCCAGGACTTTGAAAGGAAATGGCAGTTTCCACATTGCCTTGGGGCACTTGATGGCAAGCACCTTCACATACAGCCTCCAAAAAAAAGTGGCAGTCTTTACCACAATTACAAGGGCAGGTTCTCTGTAATAATGATGGCTGCAGTAGATGCGAACTACAAGTTCATCTATGCAAGTGTGGGTAGCCAAGGTAGGGTTTCAGATGCTGGACTGTTTGCACACTCTGACTTGCGCAAAGCAATGGACCAGGGCCTACTGAACTTTCCTCCACCTGAGCCTTTGCCCAGCTCTGACATGATGCCCTACATGTTTGTGGGTGATGAGGCATATCCCTTAAGGCTTAAGGCATGACCTCATGAAGCCTTATCCATTCAGGCAGATGGAGCACAGTCAAAGAGTCCTGAACTACCGTCTCTCTAGGGCACGATGAGTGGTAGAGAATGCATTTGGCATTCTTGCCAACAGGTTGAGCGTTTTCAGGTCGACCATATGCTTGGAGCCAGACAAGGTGGTGAAGATAACAATGGCCTCCCTGTGCATCCACAACTTCCTCTGTGAGCGCAGGTCAGAGGCATATACACCTCCAGTCTTTACAGACTGGGAGAATGCTGACCACAACATGGTTGATGGAGTCTGGAGGAATCATGGGATGGGGGCTTTTCTGCCGGTGGAGCATAGAACACACCGCAATGCAACTATACCAGCAAAAATGCAACGAAAAACTATTTTGTCTCACCGGCAGGTAGCATTCCTTGGCAAGAGCAACACGCTTAGAAAAGTAAAAATAATTAAAAAAATAATGTAATGATAATTATAATGGATGCATTTTAAGTTTTAGTCTGGAAATGCATACTTTTTGTTGTGTATGGGTGTACTGAATTGTCTTCTGTTGTTAAAAGTTATAATCGCAATAAACGTCATTTATGTGCTTCAGTTATTGACCTGTTATTGATTTTACGCCCGAGTCCTTAATGACTTGTGGATTGTTTTTTATTTTTTTATCTTGAAACTTTACATGTACAAAAATGTAAACAAATACTGTAACAACTGAATCTATTGACAAGACACTATCACACTTGTGATGTAATGGCTTTCAAAAATGTACAGACAGACTGTTTGTAACTTGGGTTTCAAAGATTTATTGAAAAATGACAGTATATTGAACAGTAAAAAACCTGCACATTATGTTGTGTATATTTTACACCTGTGCAAAACCCAAACATATGCTTCTACTTACTTCAATGTCAACATAGCCTTTATTAACAGTTAAATATATTCACATAGGTTTACTAAGGCAATAGTGTCAAAATGTAAAGAATACAACAAAATGTAAATGCATGTTGTAAGAAAAATCTAAACAAATACTGTAACAATTTAAGCAATTCACAGCCTCTCAAGACACTTGCACACTTGTGATGTAATGGCTTTGAAAAAGTTATACACAACCTGTTTTGTAATTTGGGTTTCAAAAATTTGTTGAAAAAAAAAATACTGTATAGATTCAGTAAAAACCTGCACATTACCATGCAACTCCCAAACAGTGCTTCTACTTACTGCAATGTGCAACCTTTAATAACAGTTACATACAGTACCAGTCAAAACATTTGGACATCCAAGATAATGGGAAAGTGTGTTTAAACTTTTGACTGGTACTGTACATTCAAATAAGTGCAACAGTGCAGAAATGGAACAAAAAAACAATTCACTTAAAAGTTTCAACATAAACACTGTAACAATGTAAGCTATTCACAGGCTTTCATAGTGATTATGATCTTGCAGTGTCTGCAAAAAGGTTGGATGAGGACTCCGAGCTGATGCGTAATGAGGATAAGACTACCGGTGGCGGAGCTGAAATGACGGGTTGAAATGTGGATGGTGTGGGTTGTGCGTGTGAAGACAAGTATCTGTTCCTTTCAGTCTCCTGAATGTCATAGCAAGATTGAAAAAGAACATAATGATTATGATCTAAGTGTACAGGGTCTTAAATTAGCCTCACTTCCAATACAACCTGGTTCCCAAATGCTGTTAAAGGGTTAGTTCACCCCAAAATAAAAATTCTGTCATTAATTACTCATCCTCTTGTTGTTCCAAACCCGTTAAGACCTTCGTTCATCTTCGGAACACGAATGTAACTGTAATGTTCCCAGGTCCAGAAACGTAGTAAGGACATCGGTAAAACAGTCCATGTGACATCAGTGGCTCAACTTCAGTTTTGCGAAGCTACGAGAATACTTTTTGAGCGCAAAGAAAACAAAAATAATTGATTTAACTATTCTTCTCCCCCGAGTTACATCTTCCGCAGTTTTGGAGAGTACCCAAGAGCGTAATCGGCGTAATCAGCGTTGTTTATGTTCGGAGGAGAAAGTGCGCGCATGAACATAATCTGTGTAATCAGCGTTGTTTACGCTTAGGGGAAAGCATGCGCATGCTTTGTGATACTCTTAAGGGATTATTTTTATTGTTCACATTTGAATGACAAATTAAATAACACAAAATAATAGTCTCAAAAGCTTTAGATTTATTCACTATTAATAACAACCAAAATAATAATAATAATATAGATGATATAGATATACAGGATTTATTTAAACCTAATTACAACAGCAATCTTCAAATCAGCAATCAAATGAGTCAAGTAATTTTGCCAAACTATTTTGAAATATAATTAAAATAATTATGTCCAACACAATTCCAGTCAAAATAGGAGATTATAAGAAACTATAGCCATACCGTTACTATAACATATTCAACATGTATCCACCTACCTGGCAAAAACTTGATACTGTGGAGGACCAAGGATGTTGGCCTCTTGAAGGTCTCTTATTCACTGCACGTTCCCTAAAGTAAGCCAGTTCCAATAGAAAAATTAATAAAATATTGTGAAAAGTAAAAAAAAACTACAGTTGCAGTGAACATTTGTAATTGTGCCAGAGCTGGTATAAGTTCATAGTTTGGATATAAACATTGATGTCTAAGGTAGCGATCAAAATAGAGCAAGTAATCTTTTGAAAGTAACTGGCGCTTCAAATAACGTTTGTGTCGATTACATTGTTTCACCGCTAGGTGACAACAAGTGACTGTTAAAAAATGTATTCAAGCAAGAGATTCGTTAAAAAAAATTATTCATCCAGTAATGAAACAAGTGAAGTAAGTATTTGAGTGAGTCATTGAATCATCCATTCAAACCATGTTTTCATAATTTTAATATTAAATTGGTGTATTTTATATATTATATTTTAAATACATATATTATAATGTTTAGTAATTCATTCAAATTAATTAAACACTTTTAAATAGATTGCAGCAATTAATATTTTGTTACACATTATTTTGATTTGTTCAGAATTGTGGGAGAATCGTGATCTATATTTGAGACAAAAAATTGTGATTCTCAATTTATCCAGAATCGTGCAGCTCTTCTATATAGTATTACATTACATTCCGCGTGATAAAATATATAGATTTCACTGTGATCTGATTCTGTAATGTTTTTTATTGTTATTTAACATTACTGTAGTAAAATCATGTTTTACTACGTTTATACATGTGAAGACGAGTGGAGTATAAATTAGAAATAGATTTTAAAAATTGCTAGTTAGCGAATACGTATTAACAGCGTAAACATGAATTAACCATGCAACCATAAATCTTAATAAATTAAGTATATCAGCAATCATACATCAAAGAAGAAATCTCTTAGAAATATATTTGACCTAGGTGACGAGGATCACTCAGTCGCTTTGTGTCAAACTCAAATGCAGTTATGGGGTTTTTGACCAGCGAATGTGCGCAAATGTGCATTTTGTCCGTCATTAAAACGGCAGCATCACATAACGTTTTCATCAACAGGTTACAGAGTTTGTTGTAGCTATATGGGCGCTCAGTTTTTCCTGTTGTAAAATACATTTGGCCAAAATCTCATTTTATAAAAGATGAAATGCTACTGTACGCCCCGGTATGCACAGGCTATTCAAGTGACTCGATGGCAAATGCTAGCCCTCTCTCTCCGGTCCCATATGTTTCAGACCTCAAATACTAAAATATGAGCTTTTATAGACATATTGTTTCTTGCGTAAAGAAATCGCTGTACTTATTCAAACAACATGATCTAATTTTACCCTTGCAAGACTTTGTCCAGCTGCTGTGGAACTTAAGTTCATTCAGTCAAGATAGAGGGGGTGGAGTTATGAGGTTTGACCGACAGTTTGAGTGGATCCAACAAGATTTAGTCACAAGCTCTTTTTAAAGGAACACTCCACTATTTTTGAAAATAGGCTAATTTTCCAACTCCCCTAGAGTTCAACAGTTGAGTTTTACTGTTTTCGAATCCATTCAGCCGATCTCCGGGTCTGGCGGTAGCACTTTTAGCTGTAGCTTAGCATAGATCAGTGGATCTCAAACTTTTTTGGCTTAAGTACCCCTTTTTATGATTTTTTCAAGCCAAGTACCCCTTGACCAGACAACAACATTTTGCTTTAAGATACAGTGAAATTATAGGGAGCCCAGAGGCTGGAGAAACAGTGTAGCAGCCAGCAGGTGCCAATTTGAGTCCTGAATAAGAATAAAAGCGAGACAGTTATTATATATGATGCCCCCCGAGCAGGTTTATTTCTTATAAACATTTCTGTATGTAGCTTTACGCAACTATGTAAATCTCTTAAGTATTAGGCATAATAGTTATAGGTAAATCAGTGTTTTTCAGTTCAATAAAAGTGAATTGTGATCATTTTTTAACATTTTTTCAACAGTTACTTTTTTTTCAGTGTGTTTCAACTAGCAGTTCAGTTTTCATATGTCTTTATACAAGTCTAGTATGCCCATTTGTGTCAATTTGTCAGTGATCCTTTCAATGGGATACATGGGCCTGTCCTTCTCTTAAGATCTTTGACATTCTTGGTGGCAGGGAAGCTACAGCTGTTATCAGACTATTTTCAAGGCAAAGTCTGTTTCTTTGTTTAGTTTTTATCTGGGTCATTGCTGAAAATGAGGTTTCACAGAGGTAGGTAGAGCCAAATGGGAGTAGGTGTTCCAACACACGACGCGTTACTCTGCGCTGCTCAAAAACTCCACATTTGAACAGACAGTAGCAAATACTTAAAACTATTAAGAAAACATACTTACAGTCGCTGATTCAGAAGCGCCAGATTGTCATAGCAAAGCTTTTCCCTAGCTCAGGGTGCTCTCTCCTCACACACACCCAAAACTCTGTCAGGGAACAGTTTTCAAAAGTAGTCTGCAACCCATGGTCCGTGGATAAATCCAATAGCTCCTCGCTCAGGTGAACAGGTAGCATGCCACAGTTGCTTTGGGAAAGTGTAAATGGGTTTCTAACCCAATCCAGTTGCTCAGACTTCTCTCTTACATCAGGGAAGTATGATTTGAAACTAGAAATCACGTTAGCTAAGTGTCCATCCAGAAAGGTTTTTACTGTGTCTCTCTCCATATTCTCACTTACGACGAAGCTATCAAACTGAAGAAAACAGCTAAAATCGCCCTCTGTACACAGTCTCTTCCACAGCTCCGCTTTCTTGAGAAAACCACCAACTCGGTCATAAAATTTCAAAGTCGTAGTGTCCCTGCCTTGCAGACTGAGATTCAACTTGTTCAGTTTAGTAAAAATATCTGCTAGATACGCTAGTTTGGCAATCCAATTATTGTCCTTAATCAAAGTGGCAAGAGGGGACGCATTGTCTGACAAAAAGCAACACACCACATTTCGCAGCTCGAACAGCCTATTCAGTACTTTGCCTCTCGAAAGCCAGCGGACTTCGGTGTGTAAAAGGA